TATCTATCTATCTATCTATCTATCTATCTATCTATCTATCTATCTATCTATCTATCTATCTATCAATTCACCCTCTCTCTCTTCCATCACTTAACATATAACTAACCCTTCACCACTCACCTTGTTATATTGTCAGGGAACGAACGGTGAAAGAAATCAGTCCTCACTTGGTGGAGAAAGAGGGCAAGTGAAGGGTTGTCGGTCCCTTGTGCCGCCAAGAAGGAAAAAAAGGAGGACACTTGAAAGATTGGAAGGAGGCAAAGTCCGAGAGAAAGTGTAGCTTGAAACAAGGTCAGTTTGACTCAACCATTTCCCCGACTGCATGACTATGAAAAGATAATGGATTGATTGAGCACGAAGAGAAGCGGAAGAAAAAAATGAAAGTTAGGGAAGGACTATGTGTTGACCCCCAACGGGGGACACCGAATGGGAGCAGGCAAAAATATATTTTTTTCGAAATGCTTCTGTGTGTCCTACTGAGTCATAACAACCTCATGATTGCAAGCGACTGGAATACAGTCTGCTGCCCAAGATTATAATTAGAGGCAGATCACGGGATGACACTAGACAGAGTCAAACTGCTCAGATGGATACTTCCTCGGGCACATGACTTCACTTGGATAGAAAGGCCTACACAACTGGCAGGGATTCAAAGACGTCTAGATTTCCTTTTGGTATCTACAAACTTGGCTAGTGACGTACTGAATGTGGAGACGGTGAATGAACCAATGTCATATCACAAGCCGGTTATCCTGGATTGTGTTATCTCCTCTCTGGAGGAATGAGGCGCGGGCTACTTCCGATTGAACACAACCCTACTCTCTGACGAGGGCCTGACGAATTGGGTGGAAGATTTTTGGCACAGCTGGAAGAATGCTAAGTTGGAGTTTGAGCAATAGGCAAAGTGGGTAGACGCAGACCTGTGCATCATCTCTTTGAGACGATGCCTTTTCTCGGATTGCAGCTTCTGGAAGAAACAAGGAGGAGCGGGATCTGAGCGACAGGGTCGACGAAACCGAGAAAAAAAATTGGCAGCATCTAGTGTCTAACCTGTTTTGGTCAAAGGAAAGAGCGACCAGATTAAATGAGTGGAACCAATTTCAGACTCATAAGTAGGAAAGATGGTATCAAATCCTGAAGGTCAAGGGCGTAGTATCCTCGGATAGAATGACCAGACAGACCTTCCAGAGGTTGCTACCCAGGAACAGAGCGGTCCACATGAAGGAACTGAGTCACCCGCACCATCCTGGATGGCATATGGCAACCACAAATGAGGACATGTGTCGGTATGCAGCAGACTATTATGAAGACATCATGACGATGAGGAGACCTTTGACAATCTGGATGATATCATGTCTCAACTCTCAGCACTATGGGGCAATTTCACAGTTCGAGTCCCAGAAGAAGGAAGGAAGTTGATGGAGATACCACTATCAGAGGACGAAGTGCTCCAAACGGTCAAAAGGATGGCAAGGGGTAAGGCACTAGGAGACGATGGTCTCCCGGTGGAATTCTACGCAGTATGCTGGGAAACCCTGGCGGAGGACCTGAAAAATCTCTTCAACGGCATCTTGGCGGGAGGAAAATTGGGCCAGTCCATGACGTGAGGCATCATCTCGGAGCTCTTCAAAAAAGGCGACCGCAACGAGATTCGGAACTAGTGGCCCATCTCGCTGCTAAATGCTGCTGGCCAGAACGCTTGCGACCAGACTAAGCTGCCTTTTTCCCAGCATAGTCCAAAGAGATCAAGGTGCTTTTGTGCAGGGTAGGTCCATCTTCGAGAATGTGGTGATGGTTATCGAAGCGCTGGAACTGATTGACGGGGAAGACACAGAAATGATAATTCTACTGTTGGACCTAGAAAAAGCCTACGACATAGTTAATTGGACCTTCGTTCTTACGACTCTGAAGGTTGTGGGCTTTGGTGAACCTTTTTGCAGATAGGTCAAAGCACTGGACGACTTCTCCTCGGCTGTCGTGTGTGTCAACGGAGTCATCTCCAAGGAGTTCAAGCTGTCAAGGTCTTTACGGCAAGGCTGCCCCTTGGCCCCACTCCTCTTTCTTCTTCATCTGGAACCACTGTTGTGCAATATTAGGTGTTATCCGGAGTTTGTAAGCCTCTGGATGGGCAATGGCAAGGAAAACAAGGTCAAAGTCCTTGCTGACGACCTTTTTGTCATTTTGGCAAATACGAAGCCTTCGTTGGATGCCCTGAAGCAATGCCTGGTTGACTTTGCAGAGTTCTCTGAAGCGGCTGTCAACTGGAACAAATCTATATTATTTCTGCCTAAACAGTATCCTTTGGCTGTTCAGCAGGAAATGGAATGGGTCTCAGCAAATACAGCGGAACGATTCTGGCGGAAGAGTTAAAAAACGGGTTCAGAAATGGGGCAAAGCTTTTCACCTCTCACTGATCGGCTGAGCCCTAGTGATACTGGCTTCAACGTTTTCCCTGCTATGGTACGTGGCGACAATTAGAAAGCTCTCTCCAACAGTACTGAAGTCAATCAAGGTTGTGGCTAGGAGGTTCATTTGGAAGCCTGGCAACAAGGAAGATGAAGGATTCATATGCAAAGTGGTCTGGGACGATCTGCACTCCACGGGAAGAGGGAGGCTTATCGCCGATCGACCCTGTGACACAAAATACTTTCCTGCTGGCAAGATGGGCAACCAAAGTGGCAGACGCTGACATAGAGACCGACTGGTTTTTGTTGGCGGAGCGCCTGTAATCTAAGGACTGACACCTTTCTCGCCCATCGAATGTCTGGGTAGCCATCATGGCTGATACTTTTATGCGCAAATGGCCTGCTTCCAAGTTTTGGCGAGATGTGCTAGCTGCTTGGAAGAAGGCTCAGCCTTCGTTGCAAATGCCCCCTAAATCCAAGATGGAGGTGAAACGTCAACATCTCTTCGAAAACGAATGGATCTTGAACAGTGAGAGTCAACCATTCGCTCTCGGAAGATAGCCTGGAGAGTTTGGTCTGAGCTGGCTTTAAAAAGGGGCCTCGACAGTGGGTGACCTATGGGACGAGACGGTGAACCAGTGGAAATCAAGCTCTGATCTGAGAGAACATCTGGGCCAGCTGCCTAACCAAGACGAGAGGGCGGACCTTCTGAGAGCAGCAATAACGGAGGAGTGGAAACACCTCCTAGGCCCAGAGGGCATCGACCCCCCTGAGACTTGGTTCCAATGGAACAACGGCGAAGCAGGCTGGTACTGTAGACTTGAAAGCTGGTTCGATGACAATTCAGGCCGCTGCTGGCTGGAAACATACAGGCACAAATCCACCAACCAGCCAACCCTGGAAAGAGAAGGTATGCGTTTCCAGTATGGCCTTGGCAGTTTGACGAAAGTAAGGGTGAGACTGAGGCCGCCCACAGAGGAGGGCCTCCCTATGATCCCCCGGGCCCAACTCATTGCAAACGGGACCCTACTAAGGGATTTGAGAATAAACCCTGCAGTTTGGGGCTGGCAGCTGGGGGACAAGAGGATAGTGGGCCTGGAGAACCTCAACTCAAAGGTCATTGCAAGGAGGAATACCACCTCCCAGCCCTTACAAAGGAAGGTTGGCCAGCGATGGAACAGAGTGGTTCCGGAGCTGAATCCTCCTTCAGAGCATGAACTCTCCAGGCTGTGGTCTCAGTTAAGTTCAATCCCTTTACAAAAGTTGTCTTCGCTGCTTTGGCTCCAGTCTCATCTAGCAGTACCAACCTCAGTTTGGTTATCGGAGAGAGGCATGGAGGTCGTCAAGCTCAGTGACAGGTGTAAAGTCAGGGAAGAGAATTGGGCTCACCTTTGGTGGGACTGCCCAAGATCAAGGAAGTGGTGGAGATGGTGGGAGATGCATTGGCAACGGTTCAAGGGCCAGGCTGGCTTACTAGGACAGAGATGGGTCCTGCTTGGTGCCGTTCCGGTGGGGAGCAGCACCTCAGCAGGTTGGGGATACATAGCCCAGGTGAGTAGGGCTATAATGCTGTGGCTCATTTGGATGGACAGGAACAGCCTGAGATTCCAGGGCGAGAGTCTAAATGAGATTCAGGCAGAGGCCACATTTAAAGGCATGCTCGCTATGGCAATCAGGGCAGATTGGGCGCGCACGGTGGTGCAGAGTGACCGGCGCACAGGCCTCGACTGGTTCAGGAAAACCTGGTGTTTAGGGAATATCCTCTCCCATGTCTCTCTGGAAGGGAAGCTGGTTCTGTGTCAATGGATCGAGCGAGGGCAGAATAGACGCGAGTACTGGGGAGGTAGTCAGTGTTTTTTTTCTCCCTTATTTCTTATTTTTGGTTTGTTGGCTCTTGCTATGGCCTTGAGGGTGGACCAGTTGTTGAACCAGGTGTATTCGGTTCCAGTCGGTGGTCACAGTAGACCACAATGGGTAGGTGAGGGTAGGAGATGGAACAAGGTTCCTCTCGGCCCCATTGGGCCGAGTGTCAGTCCTGTCAGTAGGACTGTGCAGTAGGATAGAATAGGACACATTGTCGGATAGGCTAGGTCAATAGGAGAATTAGGTAGTAGGTTACAGTTGGCAGTGAATGGATTGTAGGGCTGCATGTTGGTTGAGTTGTGTTTGCTTGCTAAACCGGCTGATGCTGCCGGGATAACTCCGGGTTGAATTGTGAGGTCCTCGGCCTCGAATTACATTGAATGCTAATGGTCTTAGGCGACTCATCCGGATACAACCAGTTGCGTTGCACCGTTTTCATTTCGGGTGCTATCGGGCACCGTGGTGGTGGTGGTCCCTGTACTACGTCCTCCCCCGTACACAGTGCACCCTGATAACGAGTGTATACCAGTCATCTTTCCAGTCCGGTGCAGACAAAGTGAGGGTGCGTTGTTGTGTTTGGCCTCGCCGGAGAGGTTCTCTTCTTTGGGACACAGGCATCCTTCCCTCGCTCGCCAGAAGTGGAGAGAGATTGCGGTCGTCCGAGGTGAGGAGGTTTTGGGACGAAAGATACGGAGAGACAGAGAGGTTCGTTTCCTTGGGACACAGGCATCCTTCCCTCGCTCTCCAGGAAGTGGAGAGAGATTGCGGTAGTCTGAGGTGAGGAGGTTTTGGACCGAAGTTACGGAGAGAGAGAGAGAGAGAGTACGCATGTTTCTGAACAGGACGGGAAGCCGAATGGCAGATCTGTGCTGATGAAAGGGTGCCGAGAAAGAGATCTGACGTGGCAATCCATCTGGCGTGGAGCTGCGATCTGAGGTCTCGATCGTTGAAGATTGCCACGTCGGATTGACATCTCGGGCCTTGGTTGCCCGCAAGATTGACAGATATCGTCATCAGGCGTGCTCGTTGCTGCCCCAAAAGGATCCGTCCGGTGAAAGCGCTGGGAGAAGGAGAGGGAGAGGGGGGGCGACAGGAAGACGTGCGCTGTGGAAGAAGTGGGAGAGCGAATAATTGACACGTTGGTGCGGCTATATGTGTAGGGTGTGACAATCAATTATAGCAGTGCTATAGCAGTGCCAGGCGGCCGTTTCTTCTTGTTTGTTTCAACAAGAAGAGAGAGGTGAAAACCACGCTATAGTTGTTATGTTGTGACTAAAATCAGTGATGAACAATCCTGTTCATCCATCACGGATAAGGTAGAAGAATCTGAAGAATCTTGTTTATCCAGTCAGGATAAGGCAGAAGAATCTATCGATAAATTGAAGTAACGTCTATAGATCAAGTGGACTAGAAGGTCTCAAGGGCTCTAAAGGGCTCCAAAGGGCTCTAAAGGGCTCCAAAAAAGGGCTATCAAGGGCTCTCAAGCTCAAGAGTTCAGGAGTTGAGGAACGAGAGGGGAGGAAGGGGAGTAAGGCGGAAGGAGGAGGAGAGGAAGGCGGAAGGGGAAGGGGGAGAGGAAGGCGGAAGCGGAAGGAGGAGAGGAAGGTGAAGGAAGGAAGGAAGAGGACGAGAGAGGCAGCACAGGAGGAGGAGGAGGAGGAGGAGAGAAAGGGGAGGAGGGGTTGGAGTGGTAGCTAGTTTAGCTTCAGCTGCAATGGTTCAGGCGTGGTGGGGGCTCTTAGGGGCCACTGTCCCAGCTTACCTAATTAGGAGCATGTGGAAGGGCGGGAAAGCGCGAGAGGAGGAGAAACTTCGAGGAAGAGACAGTCAAAGCTCGAACGACTCGTTCGTGTGCGAGCGCGTCTGTACCTCTAAGCGGATGTTGAACAAGCTGGGGGCCTTTTCCAAAGATCCGACTCCCAATACCTGTGTGACAGTGTGCGGCGTGTCGGCCGTAGATGCATGCACGGATGCCTGTAGACGGTCCGTGTGTGTTAATCCCCATCACGTGCCTAATTGGAACGAAGTGTGCATGAGGAGATGTGCGGAGGAATGCCTAAGTGGCCGGTCGTGATGATGATGATGATGATGATGATGATGTCTCGTAATTGAGAGGAGAACAGTGATGGGGGTTATCGCACAGCTCGTACCGAAATAATTCTTCATGAGAATGATGGTGATGACGATGATGATGATGATGATGTTGATGATGATGATGATGATGATGATGGTGATGATGAAGAAGAAGAAGACGAAGATGACGGCCATGCTGACGACAATGATGATGATGATGATGATGAGGATGACGCTGTAATAGTAGTAGATAGGCATTGGTTGATGAGTGCGAGAGAGTTTGAGAAGGAGGAAGAGAGAGGAGGAGGAAGAGAAGGGAGGAGAACACGAAGCGCAAGGGGAAGTTGAAGCTGCCGCGTCCATAAGCGTCAACTCCAAGCTTGAATGAACGACGGCGATGGCAGGAGGTGGCAGCTTTGGCGATTGAAGAGGAAGGAGAAGAAGGAGAGAGGGAAGGAGAAGAAGGAGAAGGGAGAAGAAGAAGATGAAGAGGAGGAGGAGGAAGAATAGGAGGAAGAGGACGATGAAAATTTCTTCGAGAAACTTTTCTTTTCATGCCGACCAATTTGTTGGGAGATTCGAGTATGGAGGAGCGCAAGGGGAGCTGCAGTTGCATTCCGAGCTTGAATGAACGACGGCGATGGCCGGAGGTGGCAGCTATGGCGATTGAAGGAGGCATTCTGAGCTTGAATGGGCGATGGCGATGGCGGGGGACCACACCTATGGCGATTGAGCGACGCTGTATTCGGAAGAGGTTGAATGAAGAAGAATAGCGATGGTGGGAGTTGGTAGGTTTGGGGATTGCAGGATTCATTCTGAGCTCAAGTGCACACGGCGATGGTGGCAGGTGGCAGCAGCTATGGCGATTGAGCGGCAACGCGTTTGGAGGAGGGTTAATGAAGAACGGCGATGGTGGGCGGCACCCACAGCGGTCGGGATACGGACCCAGTTGTTATACATTTTGGAGGATGACGTCATCAAATTTTGCCGTTCAAAATTTTATCCATTGGGACGAGAGATAGCGGGTTTCGAGGAGGGGCCACGTGTCTCCGCGAAGGAGAGGCCACGTGTCTGTTGAGGGTGAGCCCACGTGTCTGTTGAGGTTGAGCTCTTTTGTTTTTTTGAAAACTTTTCCCTCTTTTCGACTATCTTCTTAATTAATTACTTCTTTTTTCGGGCATTTAACTTCGACGTACCTGTCCGCAATTTGAGCGTTTTTTTTACTTGAACCGAAATCGTGAGGTCCTGTGTTCTGGCGGGGAGCACGATAAGAACCCAAAAAAAAGGAAAAAAAGAAAAACGGGAGGTCCTGATGATTTCGGTTCAGAAAACGCCGAAATTGCGGCCAGGAACGTCAACGTTAAATGCCCAATGGGGTGTTATCTCTTTCCCTCCATCGTTGCGAAATCGCTCTCCCTTCTCAGTGAAGAACGTCCGTCTCCTTCTCTACATATCATGTGCCTTGGCTGTGGAATTCATCATCTATGCCATCACCATTATCAATCTATTGGGGCCGCCGCCGTCTGTGCCTAACGGTGTCCAAAATTTCCGCATTGTACACATCCCATCACCCAGATATTCGTTGTCCCTTTTGTGCGCAAGGACGCTATCAGGACTGCATGATGCCGCACTGTGATGAACGTCCTGCTGTTTTTTGACATGTGGACAGCATGTCCTTTGTCAGGACTTTTGATGGGATGGTGCTGAATGCTGTGCTGGCGCAGCTCTCCTTGTGTATCCTTGTGAACATCCACGTCATCGTCAGCGTGCCTGTCCTATCTTCCGGGGTGGGGGCTCAACACTAATAGTAGGACATAAAGCTTTCGACACGACCAACAGATACGGAGGTGAAGAAAGAAGAAAGAAAAAATTGATAAAACGAAAAGGAAAAGGGAAAATTTGTCTGGCGCCCCTGTAATTTGCGTTATTTCCTGTTGCGCCCCTCCACGGCCGATTTACCCTGTCGTGCCCCTGGGCCAAAAAATATTTCTGCAGGCCCCTGTGGGTAGTGACCACAACTTTCCAGGACGCCCTCCTTGGACTGACGGTCGGGCCCTGTGCCATATGCCCTCATGACGGGCAGCCATCTTTCTGCAATGCCCCCGCAGCCGTGAGGCACCACAAATTCCCATTTCCATCGGGCCCTGTGCCATATCGTCTGCTTCCCTGCAAGTGTGTGTGTGTGTGTGTGAGAGAGAGAGAGAGAGAGAGAGAGAGAGAGAGAGAGAGAGAGAGAGAGAGAGAGAGAAAGGGTGAGTTGGTGACTTCTCTCTCTCTCTCTCTCTCTCTCTCTCTCCCTCCCCCCCAATTTTTCTGTGTAAAGGTCCTGTTCCACGCGTTTCTCCTTCATGTATCATGCAAGATACCTACCGTCTTCACTCTCTCTCTCCCTCTCTCTCTCTCTCTCTCTCTCTCGCACGTGTGCAAATCAAAGTTCCGAAGTGTACGGTCATGATGGCCGTGTCTAAAATTACAGTCACTACAGTTGCATTTTGGGCAACTGTCATTGTACACACGGCCATCGTGACCGTACGTTTCGGAACTTTGATAAACCTACCGCGGGCAAGAGAGAGAGAGAGAGAGAGAGAGAGAGAGCTGGAACGTTGTACAGTCCACCGGTTAGCCATAGGCGCACAGCGCCATCACAACACCCCTCTCCTCCTTCATCATCTTCTTCCATAGATCGTAACCTTCAGATGAGAAGAGATACTGACTTGCAAGAGCCAACGCCCGCCCCCTGATTTTCGTCCCAGACTTCTTCTTTCCCGCCTTTGCGTTCATCGAGGTCGCCGTTGCCCTCATCGATGACTCGGACTGTCCACCACTAACATCCTTTGGTTTGTCGGACCCGCCCCTGCATCTGGGAAAGCAGTAGAAGATGTGGCAGTTGTGGACGACTTGGCAGCAGACGCCCTCTTGGCAGCAGATGCCGTGACAGCAGCTGATGAGGCAGCAGACGATGACATAGCAGCAAATGGCTTGGTAGCAAATGGATTGGCAGCAGATGACGTGGCATAAGATGACGTAGTAGCAAATGGCATAGTAGCAAATGGCTTGGTAGCAAATGGACTGCCAGCAGATGACGTAGCAGAAGATGACGTGGCAGCAGATGACATAGCAGCAAATGGCTTGGCAGCAAATGGTACCGGTAGGGGCATCTCGAAAATTTTCCTGCTGGCTTTTAACGGCCATCCGATAGGGGCATCCCGCAAATTAGGGACCGGTACCGGTAGGGGTGTAACGAAAAGATTTGAGGCCCAAACGACACCGGGGACTTATGGAAAATTTGAACCCTGCTCAGAGGGGCGCGACAGGGTAAATCGACCGTTGGAGGGGCGCGATGCAAAATAATGCAAATTACAGGGGCACCAGACAAATTTTCCCAAAGGAAGAACAAAGAAAAAAAAAGAACAAATTGCTGAAGAAAAGAAAAAAGAAAACAAGAAAAAGAAAAAAAGAAAAAATATGTTGAACCTTGTTGTGACAGTGGCAATTGGTTTATTTGTGGGATGTGTCATTTGCTTTGTTTGACTGATAGGCCTTCCTCTTTCCTTGTCCTTTCTTTGACTGGATCCCTTTCTCTTTCTCTTGCCTTTGTGAGGTTTGGTTTCCTCCTCCTTTTCTTTACCTCTTTGCCTTTTGGCTGCGTGCAAGTGGGTCCTTGTGACACACGGTGATGGGGGCAGTCCGCGCTCAACCTGTCATCCACGTATCCGGCCTTGTAGGTAAGAGGTGATGAACAGGCGGAGCTTTCCTTCTTTCCTTTTTTGTTTTGTCTTTTTCTGCCTTTGCGCTCTGATACATGGTGTGACTATATACATATCATGTATATATGGGTTCAGCCTCCTGATGAGTCGGTGAAACTCCAACGAAACAGTTTGTTACAGCCCCTCGTTTGTTGTCCTCTTCTCACTCTCTGCCTACGGTTTACCGGCCAGTTATTTGTTCTGGTAACTTTGTTTGCGTCCCGGTTGGTTTGTCCCGTTGTTCGGTCTATTTTGGGATGCATAGCGGTGAGCTTATGTGGGAATAGTCATCCGGGTTCTTTTTTATTTTGGCATCCTGGTTGGTTGTTCCCGTTGTTCGGCTTCTTTTTTATTTTGGCATCCTGGTTGGTTGTTCCCATTGTTCGGCATGTGCATTTGGGGCCGTGCTTTTATGTGGGAATGGTCATCTGGGATTGTCTTTTATGTTTTGTTGGACATCCTTCAGCATAGACGGCGGCAGTTCCAATAGACTGATTCCTTTTTTTGCAGGCAAGGTGTGTTGATATCCTGGTTGGTCTTCTCCCGCCGTTTGGCATGTGACGTGGGGGCGGTGCTTACATGTGGGACTCGTCATCTAGGATTTGTTTCCCCCTGTTTTGTTGTGTTCGACTGTTTCCTTCCTCTTTTCTTTGCCTCTTTGCCCTTTGGCTGTGTGCAAGTGGGTCGATATGACACACGGAGGTGGGGGCAGCCGCCGCTGAACCTACATCCACGTGGGGGGGGCTTGTACGCAAGAGGTTCCGAACAAGGGGAGTTGTAAGGAAGAAGATAATAAGGCGAATCCATTTTATACACCATCAGACTTCCTTGCAATTGCTCTTCAGCTTCCCCAACTACAGCCAGAGGATTGTAATTACACCATCGAAGGAGGCTTTACCATTGCTGTCCTACATGAAGCAATGAGGGACCGTCGACTTGAACTATGCAATGCTCGAGCAGGTGAGTGGTATAATTGTCCATCCCACGTCTCTGCCTGCATTGTGCATGTGCCTGGCCATTACATTGCCATTGTACATTCCTATGACCTCTGGGATCTGTGGGACAACGACACCATGGTCCATGCCATGACTGATGTCACTGATTTCTTACAAAATGATGCTGTTTTTTGCCACAACAAACCGTCCGCAATCTCTTGTATATCGAAGATTATTCCTCTGGCCCCATGCTGCAGCAAAACAATGTACCAACACTGTGCGACCTTCTCCTTTGCACAACCACAACTATTGTGTAGCCGTCATCGTCTTTGTCACAATCACTACAATGCTATGGTTTCTGCATACATGTGTGCACAGGACTGTCCCTCTGTTCCTGATGGCAGGCACCCTCCGCATCCAGACACTATGTCAATTTTGCGGCCATGGGCGCTATACTGAATGCATGGTCTTTTGTGGTGACCGTTCTTCCTTCATTTTGGCCTGCAATCGACATGCCATTTGTCGGGGGTGTATGCTGGGCATGCTCAATGCCAGCCGTTATGGCAATTGTTGAAGTGAGAATGCTCAGCTAGGTCTTCCATGTGTTCTACCAACTGAGCTAATTACCCAAATGTGTTATTCCTTATCTAAAGCGCCCTTCTTCCATTCATAAATAAACCAATAGTTAAAATCAATAAAAAGACCATCATCGACCAAAATCCAAACAATCCTATTTTATTGGAAGAAACTGCCCAAGGAAATAAAAAAGTAACTTCTAAATATTGGGTCAAAAGTTCCGCTGCAACGGTTGCCCGTTCACCCGTAACCTCATCCTTACAATGTATGTCCTCTCTGTCGTCAAGGACAGACTCATTCTTGAGCTTCCAAACTCTGTACTTTCCCTTACTTTCCCTTACTTTCCCTTTACTTTCCTTTTCCTTTTCCTTTTTCGGTCTTTGTTTGTCTGCTCTCCATCTCTCCTTGCTGTGTTTATCCCCTCCTTCACTCTGCCTCTTTCTCACAGCGTACAAGTGGACCGTTATGGTACAAGGGGATGGGGGCAGCTCGCGCTCAACTTCATCAACGTGGCGAGCCTTGTACGTGAGAGTCACGGTGAAGGGGGAGCTAAAAGAAGAATGAGAAAAATGATCAGACCCAATCAATGTGGAAATGCAGACTGGACATACATCATCATCATCACATATTGTGAAATGCCTGGCGCCGCACACCATGACCAAGGTGCCAGGCCTAACTCATACACGGATGAGGAGGAGGGGGAAGAGACGAAGAAGAAGGGGGAAGAGATGAGAATGTCGGCAACCCAAATGTCGCTGATATGAATCCCAAATAGTTCCCCCAACGTCTCTGTCCAATGTCGAGTCTGAATCCCAAGTTTCGT